CACCCTCTTCTTAATGCACCCCAGGATGCCATTGGCCGCCTTGGCAGCCAGGGCACACTGCTGGCTCATGGTCAACCTGTCATCCACCAGGACAGCCAGGTCCCTCTCCACAGAGCTGCTCTCCAGCAGGTCAGCCCCAGCCTGTACTGGTGCATGGGGTTGTTCCTCCCCAGGTGCAGGACCCTGCACTTGCCCTTGTTGAACTTCATCAGGTTCCCCTGTGCCCAGCACTTCAGCCTGTCCAAGTCTCGCTGAATGGCAGCACAGCCTGCTGGTGTATCTACCACTCCTCCCAGTTTTTGGGAAAACATTCCTATTCTGAGGAAAACGAGCGTCACTCAGTTCACCCACTTGTGTGTTACAAGCCCTGGGAGGGTTATGCTGTCCTTGTTCCGGGGAGGGCGAGCGGACGGGCTGGGGTGAGCGAACCGTCTGTGTCCGGAGGCGATCAGGCTTCGACGTGTGTGTCCCCTTCTTTCCAGCGATGCTCGCAACATGGCCCGGGACGTGCAGAACACCTTCTACGAGATCGTGGCCGAGTTCGGGAACATGAGCCAGCCCCAGGCCGTGGACTATGTAAAGAAACTGATGACGAAGGGCCGCGAGCGGACGGGCTGGGGTGAGCGAACCGTCTGTGTCCGGAGGCGATCAGGCTTCGACGTGTGTGTCCCCTTCTTTCCAGCGATGCTCGCAACATGGCCCGGGACGTGCAGAACACCTTCTACGAGATCGTGGCCGAGTTCGGGAACATGAGCCAGCCCCAGGCCGTGGACTATGTAAAGAAACTGATGACGAAGGGCCGGTACTCTCTGGACGTCTGGAGCTAAGAGCGGGGCTGGTGGGGCCAGGGAGAGAACAGGTCCCCAGGCGTGGGCCCTGGGGAAAGCGCCTGCTCGCCCACTGCTGCTGCAGGTGACAGCGTTGTCCCCAGCCCACAGCTACCCCAGTGTCACTCCCAACCCCTCCTGGCCACAGCAGCCCCGGCCAGGCTGTGTGCCTGGGGCAGAGGGGGTTGAGAGGGGCAGGGGGGGAGCTCAGGCTGGTGTCCAGGAGCCGCGG